CTCCACTCTCTTAAATTTTGCGATTGATGCGAGACACTGATAAAACTCCAACCAAATAAGAGTTTATTTAACAAGGGAAGGATACTTGATCAAAGTGGCGTTTTCATACAAGATATATACCATCTTGCAGAGCATGGAATGCTGAGTTCAAACCTGCTTTCGGCATCTGCAAAGCGCTTGTGGGAGAGGAGTTACGGAGATTTTTCGATGCAAAAATTTGAAGGCGCCGCTACAATAAAATCATTCAAAACCTTGGTCCGTGAGCTCAAATGGGCAATCATTACTACCAGGCGCTTTAAGGCATAGAGACCATCAAATAAACTCATGTCAGTCATTACCTCTTTCAAGTGCCGGAAGACCTCAACACCTATTTTTAAGCCAAATCCTCGAAATTTTACCTCAAAAAATTCCCAGGACTCCCCTTCCAAAAGCGTTTTGCAGATACCGAAAGCAGATTTGGACTCAGCGTCAACTACTTTATAAAATAGTATTTATCTCATATGGAAACGCCACTTCAACAAATATCCTTCCCTTGATAGAATGTTGCCTCATATTATAGCCTTACACTAGAAACTTTTTCAGTCCAAGTTTTCTACTATCAAGGCCGGAACACTAATGAGCTTACTGATTACGCGTATCAGTGCTTTCGGCAACTTTTGCGATGCGTGCTGTGATCGCTTTTGTTTCGCTCTACTCGCTAGTAACGGCTTCAAAACTTTGTCTACAAGCACCCTGCATCCCTCAGGTATGCAGTCTTCAAGTTTACCCAGATGAGGCTATTGCCGAAACAAAGTTCCTCAGGCCATCGATGCAGATTTCACGTTCATCATCGACGCTTCCAGCGTCGTTTCAGGAAACGATTTCTTCAAGGTGAAAAGTCAACGGCGTTATCTTCCGTACAACCTTTCAAAGTTCTTTTTTTCCAGTTGAAACAATGGCTTCTTGATTTCATCTCGCAACTGACATTGACAAATGCCGACACACAGGTAATGATCCTTTAATGATGTACCGGCACAAGAAGAACTCAAATTTATAGGGTTGAGAAATGAGGTACCAAACTTTTTGCAAAAAACATCTACATTACTTAGTGTGATCACTTTTATTTGTAAAAAACCTACTTCTAAGAAATAGCAAGAAATGTGGCCGGCTGTGGTGGGAGAGGGGGAGGGGAGGGAGGAAGGAGGGGTTTTTTGGAAGTTATTAGCATTAGTTTATAAAAATGTAGTAATTCGCTCATACTTGTAACTGTTTTGAATATGCTTCAAAAATTTCGGAAATATTACTTGGCTAAATATTAGGTCGTTCCGAAAGTTCTTTCCGTTTTTT